ATCGTTACACGGCTCCTGATTTATTAGATTTGAATAAATGTGGTTTTGAAGACTTACGGTCAATTGATTCAACTCTGTTACCAACAATAACGTTCATCCAAGCATGTAAGGAATACGTTGGTACAAGCCTGATTGTTGCAGAAGCATGTCATTGTAATGGCAAATGTGCTACTAAATCTTGTCCACGTCGATCAAAAAATGTCAAATGCGGAACAAAATGTCATCCTAAGAAGAAAGCTTGTTCAAATGTTTAAATGTTTTTTTCTTTTATTTCGTTATAAATGCATTTACTTCAGAAGAGAAATTTTATTTATTCCTGCAGGAATAATTAAAATATGTGAAAGAACTTGTTTGCTAGGAATATTTTAAATATTCCTATAGGGATAAATCAATTTTAATTTGAACTAGTTCATATTAAAATTTTATTTATTCCTAGGAATATTTTAAATTCTCCTACATTTCATTTATTCCTGCGACATATATATTAACTTGCATGATCGATATTTTTTCTGGAAGTTGTTGATGTTGTAATTAAAAGTATTCAAGCCAAAACCATATTTTGGTTTGATGATGTGTATAGGAAGTTTGCGATGACGGCATGCTCAGGTTTTATCGGTCACTAAAATTTTGATAACTAAATTTGCAAAGATGTCAAGAGATTTCTGAGATACCTGTAGTGAGGACAGAATTGCAGTGCAATACGCCTGAACGAGTTTTTCTTTTGCGTCTCGCGTCCGATCGACAACTGTATTTTGTTTCACTAGAGCGCGTTGTGCACGAAATAGTTTTCATAACTATACAAAAACACCTTCCAACGCTCTCCTAATACATTGACGAGAAATTATTCAAACGCATACCCTCTTGTTGGTGGAGGGGCAAGCGTGCCCAAACACATTTACCGTTGAAGAGTGAGTTCATCTTTATGAAATGGTAACAAATCTAAAACAGTTTGGGATACTGTACAAATATAGAAGAAAAAATAGCCAAAACCAGTTACAAAATAGCCAACCTATGCATGCCGTCACCGCAAACTTCCTACACACATCATCAAACAAAATATGGTTTTGGCAGCATTTTACTGAATTGGCCGTTGGATGCAAAATCTTAAACTTTTCTGCTGAATTCTTGATCAGTCTTAGATGTCCGCTTTCCGGATATTTTTCCTTTTTTTATCTCAACTGCTGCATTTTCGGCATCTTATACTATTGTCAAATAATCTATGCGTAGATGCTATCTGTGTGAAAATCTTCAGAAATCCGTTGTGTTGAAGTAGATATTATTCAGCTTGATTCGTGGAGTTTGATATGAACCTGTTAGCTAGTTCTTTAAATTTTCAAAGTTATTACTTATTGGAAGTATATTCATTTATCATTTTGATAGGATTACAAACAAGCCTATGCCAGGTCATGTCCTAACATTAAAGATCATGCTAGGAACTTATGAGTCTCGGAAATTGATTATAACAGGATCGTAAATATTAGGATCCTAGTACGAAATATATACGATTACATTTGCATAGGGATGTTGTGTTACCTGGATTTTTAATTAATCTCACTCACACACAGAGCTTTTTATCAGTACAATAATCATATACTTTACAAGTAAAAACTTTATAGTGAATTTTTTGTCGCTTATTATTGTGGAAACCAAAATACAAGAGCAGTCGCCGTTCTTTAAATAACTGTTGAACGAAAGTAGATGACGATTCACGATTTTTGCTATTCAATAGCCAGGACTAAAGAGCACGTTTACGTAAGTAGAAAATATTTAGAAATTTTTTCAAAGCCTGTTTCCAAGAAGATCTCTGAAAAACCATTTCCTAACTGGAAAATTCGACATGGCAGTATATTGATTTCTTTCATAAAGAGATAGACTAAAGCATTCTCCACAAAAGAGAACCTAAGCGAGAGCTCCCAAACAAAAATAAAAAGTAATAAAAATAAGAGACACTAGTGCTATTACATAGAATAGTCTTAAGCCAGTGAGTGTAACAGAAGAAGATAAAACTGCACATAGAGTAGAGACCTGCAACCCGACCCGAACCCGAGCCGACCCTAGGGTCGGGGCGGGTTCGGGTTGAATATTTGGCGACGCAATTTAAAATATAAATAATATTTTTAGCTTTGTATTACTGGTTGAAAGTTATCTCTACTGGAATTTCCAGTTGAAAGACTTGTTTCAGAACAACTGCAT